GCGCGGCCATGGGTAAGGGGCTCTCGCTGCCGGGGCACGCCGAGGGGGGCTGCCCCTGCCGGGCTCTGGGGCGCAGATGGGGCGCGAGGGCAGGCTGGGCCCGGCGCAGGGTCCCTGGGGTCTGCTGGCTGGGAGGGCAGGCTCTCTGCACTGGGCGCCCGCACGGGTCAGTCATGCCGAGGAGGCGATCGAGGGGTGTGTGTGTGTGTGTGATACACAGAGAGAGAGGCTGTGCGTGTGTGTGAGAGAGAGACTGTATGTGTGTGTAAGGCTGTGTGCATTTGTGTGTGCGTGAGGGAGAGAGGGGCTGTATGTGTGTGTGTGAGAGGCTGTGTGTGCTGTGTGTGAGGCTGTGTGCAGGGGAGGGAGAGAGGCTCTGTGTGTGTGTGAAGCTGTGTGTGTGTGAGGCTGTGTGCATGTGTGTGTATTTGTGCGCGTGTGTTAGGCTGTGTATGTGTGCGTGTATGAGCGAGAGGCTGTATGTGTGTGTGCTGTGTGCATGTGTGTATGGGAGGGGGAGAGTGTGTGTGAAGCTGTGTGTGTGTGTGTGTGTGTGTGTGTGTATGTGGTGGGGGGGAGCTCAGGCCCCCCTTTTGGTGGCTGCCTGGTGCGTGCGGGCCAAGCAGGCAGCCCGCGAGCTGCCTGGCACACGCGTGGGTCTGGCGGCCGCGGTGCCAGGAAGGCCTCCCGTACGTGCGCCTGCCTGGGGCTGTTTAGAAGTCTTGCAGGGACTTTAATTCCTCATCTCTCTATCCCGAGACCCCCTCGCCCGCCGCCAATCTATATAGAGCCCCGCCGCATACCCACCCAGCCTGCCTGAAGCTTCTGCAGAGCCTTTGCGGGAGCGATCCTTTCCCCGCCGCCCCCCCGAGTAACACTGTCTCTCCCTCCCGGCGCGGCCCCTGGCAGAGCAAACGTACGGCGAGGTGAACCAGCTGGGCGGCGTGTTCGTGAACGGCAGGCCCCTGCCCAACGCCATCCGGCTGCGCATCGTGGAGCTGGCGCAGCTCGGCATCCGACCCTGCGACATCAGCCGGCAGCTGCGCGTCTCGCACGGCTGCGTGAGCAAGATCCTGGCGCGCTACAACGAGACGGGCTCCATCCTGCCCGGCGCCATCGGGGGCAGCAAGCCGCGGGTCACCACGCCCAACGTGGTCAAGCACATCCGAGACTACAAGCAGGGCGACCCGGGCATCTTCGCCTGGGAAATCCGCGACCGACTGCTGGCCGACGGCGTGTGCGACAAGTACAACGTGCCCTCGGTCAGCTCCATCAGCAGGATTTTACGGAACAAGATCGGGAACCTCTCCCAGCCCGGCCCCTACGAGGGCAGCAAGCAGCCTCCGCCGCAGCCCGCGCTGCCCTACAACCACATCTACCAGTACCCATACCCCAGCCCCATGTCCTCCTCGGGCGCCAAGATGGGCAGCCACCCGGGCGTGCCGGTCACCGCGGCCCATGTCAGCATCCCCCGGTCCTGGCCCTCGGCTCACTCCGTCACCAACATCCTGGGGATCCGCACCTTCATGGAGCAGACAGGTCAGTGGTCCTGCCCTGGGGATGCCGCTCTAAGGGGCAGGGTAAGGCTTGTGTGTGCCTGCGGAAGGGGGTCACTGTTTGGCTGGACTATCTCAGGCTGGACCACCCCTCCGCACTGCATAGATACACACACATATTGCTGTATAGATACGCATACTGTATATATATGTGTGTGTGTGTACACATATGTATACTGCATGTATGCTGTATGTATATGTACACATATATGCGTATACTGTATGTATGCTGTATATATAGGTATAAATGTGTGCTGCATGTATGCTGTATATATGCTGAATATATATGTATACTGTATGCATTCTGTATGTGTGCATACTGTGTGTATATATATATATACATATATATAGATATATATATGCATACATATATCACCGGCAGACTCTTTACGTCTGAAGAAGGGTGTTTGTGCCTGAAAGCTTGAAAAGAACAATTTTCCCAACTATTTAGTTGGTTTAATAAAAGATTTCACATCTACCCAAAGAACCTTGTCTGCCTATATATGTATACAGCATGTATGCTGTATATATGCTGTATATATGTGCACACATATATGTACTGTATGCACGCTGAATATGTATACTTTATAGATGTATACTGAATGTTTGCTGTATGTATGCAGTACATATATTTACACACACACATATATATGTTGCTGTATATATATAAATTACTGTATAGATACATAAATTGTTATATAGCAATTTATATGTATCGTACATAGTGTGCGTGTGTGTGTACACACACACACACATAATATATATGTGTATATTGGAGGTCCAACATGAGACCCCCTAAAGGAGCCTGATTTTCAATACACAGCTTCTAAAGGAAACCAACCAGGCTGCTGATTTTTGGACACATACACACACATTTTTATATATCCAAAAATCAGCAGCCTGGTGTGTGTGTGTGTGTGTGTGTGTGTGTGTGTGTGTGTGTGTGTGTGAGTGAGATCATCGAGATACGATATAGAAAAGATGTCTAGCTCGTTCGCTTTGGCAAAAAAAAAAAAAAAAAAAAAAATCCATGCCCATGGGCCCTCTGTTTTTTTGAGTTTTTTGTTTTGTTTGTTTGTTTTTATCCCGAACCCAGGGACTTATAGGCAGGGTCTAATGGGGGCAGTTCTAGTAAGAGCGCAGACATCTTGAACTTTTTATGAAAAATGTGGAAAATATTTTCGCGGGGATGATAGATTGCCAAGTGCACACATTCGGAGCCCTGCATTTTCCCCGCAAAGAAATCTAGCTATCCATCTATCTACGTATTTCTGCGTATCTCTCCACGTCTCTCATTCCTATGTACCTATCTATGGAATAAAAGAATCCAAGGCCAGCGAATTCACGTTCCCGATCCCTTTTGCCAGCTCTAAACAGCTGGAGCCTTGATTTTTTTTTTCCTTTGAGAAATTCCCCTTGCACCCAGGCTCCTCGGTGGGTGCCGGCTCCACGGACAAAGTCTGTAGTGCCTGGGCCGGGATTGCTACACTAGCACAGACGTGCTCTTAGTAAAGAAGAAACAATTCATGTGGATATTACAGAAGCACAGGAAATTGGGCTAGCAGGGCCCTCAGGGGATCACCTCGTCCAACCTCAGCTCGTGGCAGGATTCTCCTTGTTAAAAATGTCAGGCAGTTCCCTCCTTCACTCCTACAAATTACAAGCAATTCTGTATTTTTTAGGCTATCTTCCCCTTCTTTGATTTGATTAACCTAAACCCCGCTTCAGTGCAAGGTCACCGGTTTCTCTTGTCCGTGTTATAGCTGGAGCTGAGGAATGCCCTTTTTCCCGTGCACAAAAACCTCCGGTTAAATCCAGCGCAAGAGTTTGTCTCCCCGCCGTGCTGGATGTGTAAAATCCCGCTGTCACTTGAGGAAATCTCCCTGGCCAGGCGGGGAACCGGAGCCTCTCGCATTATTAGCAGAACTCAGGGCAGTGGAAAGGCAAAAAAGAAGAGAGCGATGCGATGACAGCGCGGGAGTGTGTGTTTTAGCTGAGAGTCAGGCAAAGCTGCTCATAATTTAGACCATCAGACTTCTCATTGGAGTCTGGTCCCCCCCAAGTCTGCTTTTTTCTACACCGCGATGGGAGATCTCCCTCCCCCACGCCCCAGCTCAAGTCTGGGCAGGGCGACACAGCTCAGCGAGGTGCAGTCGCTCCGGATCGGGGAGCGGGGAAGCAGTCTTATCCTGAAAGGATCCCCTCCCGGATCGGGTTTTCAGCCGCTCGGCTGAGTAATAACCGCTCCGTGAGAAAGAAACCCAGCCTTGTCCTTCTCTATAAATCACCGCTTGCACATTAAAGACGAGGCGCTTGTCCAAACGATTCGCCACGCAGCATTGATATCAATTCGCGGTCCAAGCGGTAACCAGTAAACCCCCTTTAAGTGACCCCCGGGGCAGGGAGATGTTTCCCCCCTAGACTGCAGGGAGGTGCTGAGTGATCCATCTGCCACCTACGGCTTTTGGGCAGTTTCCTAACGAAAGCGAAACAAGCCCTGGGCCCAGGTAGTAAAAACAAAAACAAAAAACAACCCGAACCCTCTCTGCTGGCTTCTTCTTGGCACAGGATCGGGCCCTCCTCTGGTTTTCTGAATCGCCTCCCAACCCTCCGTTCTGTAGCCCTGGGCACGGGATAAACCAGCCACGAGCCAGGCTGGGCCTGAGTGCATCTGCTAATGAGTCCAGCGATCTGTTTCCACCCCAGGGGCTCTGGCTGGGACAGAGGGATCTGCCTACCCACCCAAAATGGAAGACTGGCCCGGTGTGAACAGAACTGCCTTCCCTTCTGCGCAGGGCGTCAATGGGCTGGAAAAAGCTGCCATGGATGCGGACATCAAGTACCCGCAGGTAACTCCTTCTCTCTAGGCATTTGCAGTTGGGGGAGAGGGGAGGGGACTGGACTGGGAGATTTTAGCCAGGCCCTAGGGAAGCGAGAAGGGGAAAAGTAGCTTGGAGGATCAGGTGTGGAGAAAATCCCCCCGTGTTTGTGTGCGCGTGTGGGTTCCCTGCTAGAACAGCATTTCTCATGAAAGGGGGGAGAAATATATGTGCAGTTGCGGTGTGTCCACACGTGGACAGATGCAACCGGACTCTGAGCCGGGGCTGCGAAACTCGTGGGGCAGATGAAATTGATGCAGTGAAGGCGCTTTACGGAGTTGAAAGGACGTGTACTTACTTTGGTGGTCTGATTCTGAACCACGATGAAGACATTTTTTTGTTTAAACCCGTATCAGGCGGAGGTCTCATGTCCCGGCACATACAGGTGCCAACAGAGCGGGAAAGGGGTGTGGGAATATCGTTGTGTAACTAAAACCGATGCATTCAGGCCAGCCGCATCTGCTGGTGTGCACTTATGCACACCTAATAAGGTCCGCTTCGCACAATCGATGTTAGCTGCAAATATTCCCACCGCAGCTCAGGACCTGCGCTCAGCTCTGTGCGCTTGTTCAGAGATGCGTTTGCATGCGCTGATCACATCTCTTACCCTCGGATGCATGCGATCCCTCAGTTTTAATGTATACCAATATTTTCCCGACCTCCGTTCGGGGGTTATTTCCTTCCATCTGCAATTATTTTGATCGATCTCCCTCTCTTCTCCCGCACTCTCTTTGCTGAGCAAAAGAAATCGAATTGTCCAGCGGGGTTTATTGCAGTATAAACACCTGTGGATGATAAGAAAAGGCAGGCTTTTTTGCACGAAGGATTTTGAACCTGCAAATGATAGGGAATGTCGGTTATTGCTTTGGTTATGTGAGCCCTGGGCATCAATACACGTGGGTTGCATGCTTGTATGTGTATATGTACGTGTATGCGTATGTGCATGTGTATGCTTGAAAGTGTATATGAATATGCATATTCATGTATATGTGTATGTAAGTAAGTGTATAGGAATGTGCATATGCATGTGTATGTGTGTAAGCGTATAGCAATAGGCATGTGTATGTTGTATGTGTAAGTGTGTAGGAATATGCATATGCATGTGTATGTGTATGTGTGTAAGTGTATAGGAATATTCATGTGTACGTGTATATCGTGCCCGGAGGTAGGGACAGGCACCTCGGGTACCCTAAGATCTCCTTTCAGCCCTGGCTCCCCCTAGTGACTTAAGCGAGGATTACGACCCGGGTCGTACACTGTCCATAACAACGTATCTGTCTCCCCCACCCGTGTCCACAGCCGACCCCCGGGCTCTCCACCATGGGCAGCTTTCTCCCGGCCTGCGCCTACCCTTCTTCCAACCAGCACGGAGTCTACGGCGGACCTGGAGGAGGTTACATCACTCCAGGCCACCACTGGCAGACACAGAGCAACCCCTTGGCCCATCACGGGCCTGGAGTGACGGTGCACGGCGGGGATCTGGCCACCGCCATGGCTTTCAAGCACCCCGGCAGAGAAGGTAAGGGGCGCCCCTAGCGGAGAAGGGGCCGCGGGTCCCCTGCCAAGGAGAAGGTTTCCTGGGCTCCCGGCCCTTGGGCTAGTGGGGGAGGACACTGGGGGAGCGCGACAGAACAAGGGAGAGCCACCTGTTTAGCGTGCATGTTCGGGGGTGTCTGTACACACGCTTACACCGGGATATCTCGTCTAGAGACCATTATGTTATCTAACAATCTCCCTAGAGATGTGGACACACATCTAAACAGAAAAGCATGCGTATATACACACACGCACACATTATATAAATAACGATATCTAGAGATAGAAATCTCCATAGATAGGCAGATAGATCTAGATATATGCTTATACCTGTTTTCTATACTACATTACAGCTATTTCGAACAGTGCTACTAATATTATTGTTATATATAATGATCTATAATGATCTATATAGATCATTATAGATCATTATAGAGCGTGAATATATCATATTCATGGGAACAGACTTCAGCTCCCATAGATAGATAGTGAAGCGGCTGTAGAACAAATGAAGCTCAGAGCAAGCTGTAAGGAATCGGTATGTTCTGGTCCATATAACTCGTCATTTGAGACAGAACATAGACATGGGACATGGGATATAGCTTGTCTTTCCTTTCAATCTCTCTCTCTCTCTAGCTCTCCATTTACCTAAATTTTACTTACAATTGTATAAATTATATATATTCACATGCGTATCTATTTAGGTAGAATAAATATCTAAATCCATATATGAATGGATGTAAAGATCCGTGGATATATAGCTGCCTATTCAAGATAAATACACGTAGCAGGTGTATATGTAAGTAATGTATAAACGTATATACACGCCTTTTAATTTTATAAATAACTGCAGTCTGTGGTAGAGAAGAATGTATACCTACATTATATTATGAATAGTATAAAACATATATATATATATATCATGCACATATTCGATTACATTACTATTTTTAAAAACATCTGTTCGGCGCTTTGCAAAGCTTTTAGAACATCCGCAGCATCCATACGACTTGAGAGTAAAGATAATCACAAAATAGCTAAGGCATCGGTCACATATTGCTAAGTGGATGTAGTTGGAGTGTTTGCATCAAACAGATGTAAATGTAGAAGTAGACGCAGAAATGATATTGGGCTAATTCTGCATTCCCGGACAAAACTTGTCCCCCTCTACTCACACCTTGCAGGTGGCCGTGTGTCCAGGTGGAAGGTATCTGGGCATCTTCTGTCTCTTGGCGACCTGACCTAGCCGGTTTGGAAGCTCCCGGGCTAGCTTTCCACCACCTTGCGTGGCATCTGGCTTGTCCGCATCAGGGCTAGTGTCCGAGGGGGAAAAGAGCCCGGGGAGCAGGCAAGGCAAAGGGCATCTCCCCCGCCCCGTGTGTCCCCGCTAAGGAAGATGCCCGAGGTGTTATGCCTGTTGCTAGCACAAACCCCGAGCCCGCAGGTGGGCCTCCAGAACTGCACCCCGCACTTGCTAGAGACCTAAAGCCATGCAGGAAGGGTTAGCTGCTGGATCAGATGGAGCCGAATTCCCTACCCGATGAAGCACTTTAGCTCCGCATTTACTAATCTCTTTTAAAAGTCATGACACACGAGTTGCTAGTAGCGCGTGTCCCTTCCCGTTCGGCCACTGCTACACTCGGTTGAAAACATTCAAATGCATTAAGGAGATTATAAAAAGAGGATTTCTTAAAAAAAAATTTTTTTTTTCCCAATCATCTAAAATAATTCCCGAAAGTGGCCGTGTCCAGTGCCTGTGTCCGAATGGTGGAACCTCTCCAACCCAACAGATTTCGGACTTGAGAGCAGGAAAAACATCACTATCTCAGACTGGAAATCAGATCTTTCCCCCCTCTTAATTTTCAAGCGGGCGAGATGGAAATCTCCGAGGAAGCAGAAAGACCTAGAGCAAACATTCAGCTTTTAATTCTTTAAGACAAAGGTCTCTTTCTTAGAGGAAGCTTCCTATGTCCACAGCGAATATTGTGTAGAACCGGAGGGCAAAGAAATTATCCAGGGATATTCATTATCTTACGATAAATACAGAGAAGGGACAGAAGTTGAGCAATAGAGACAGTCATTGTTAGTAATCGTAATATAAAATAAACGTATTTGACTGGAGACTCTCCTTAAATAAAAACGATTCACGTTATAAATCTTTTACTTCGGTTATATTTTGCTTCCCTCGGGGAATGGGTAGAAGATGCCATAAGGGTATAATAAGAGAATCACATGTTTCTCATTTGAACAGGTTCTTCAGACTCTAGTGTGTGTGTACTCGATATATATGCACTGTAGTACATATTCATTTAAACTTTTTTACATTTTCCTCATATTAATCACGTTCATTCATTTATGGAGGCTTTTTAGATTTGATAGATGGTTTCATTTAAAAAGTGATAACTCATCTGTTTTGGATATAACTGTTTGTGGGGAGGGAGGGGGGTTGTATAATATTTTTCACATTTGCAATTGATTTCCTACTTACTAGCTAATTTATGTAGGATTGCTTTATTATACTTTTAGAGTGTCTATGCAGCTAAACTCTGCTAGGAGTTGCAGCGCCATTACCGCTAGTGAGTTATTGTGTATGATAATTGGTGAAAATTAGTAGTCCTAGACTAAGGAAAGATGAGCTACCCATATAGGGCTATCTCTACATCGATCAGTGCATGCTTTTCATTTCCTTTGATAAATTAGGCTGTATAATTTCCTCCTAATCCTCAAGTGATTTAGGAGTCAAAATATAACTGAATTCTAAAGGGGGTTTAGACGCCTATATTACTTAGGCATTTTGGAACAGTTTATCCCTAAAGTTGTCAATGTAGAAAGCTTATAGATAGCATCTTCTACGAACTCATTAAAAAAAAAATCTTTCCATCCTATTCAGACTAGTTTTCTGGTTCTAATATACCACATACATGCAAGATCTATGCTTTATAAAACTGCAGGGTGGGGCTGATCGAAAATAACCCAATTTTGGTTAAAAAATCGGCATTATTTGGGCACCGCAGGACTGGGAACAGAAAACAGCATTGTAACAATAGGTTCAAGTAAGATACCAGAGCGCGTAGAAGTTATTTTAACGGATAATAACGAGTCTCTAAGGCGACTGTCGTGTATAATAAACAGGAGCAGACATACTGACATTCCCTGCTCCCACAATCATTAAACTGCCAATCATTAAATAAAACTCCCTCCTCCCCAGAGTGGGTCTCAATCTCTTAAAGCGCCCCTATTCCCAAATTGGTGGCCACAAAAGGAATTATTTTGACTTTTTCTGTGCCACTGGTGTGGTCGCACCCACCTGAAATCACTGTCGGTAGACTCACAGCAAAACCAAGTGGCAATTAAAAAAAAAACAGGGCACCCAAATTCATTTGTGGACAGACGTTCTGCACAGTAACCCGCGGCAGTGCTGGAGGGGGAGATTAGGGGAGTGGGTGGGGGAGATGTGTGTGGGGCGGGGGAGGGAGGGGGAACAATGCACTCAGCAATTTCGGGAAAAAAATCACTAATATATTTTGAACCTTTTCTTTGGAGACCATAAACACGCGTGTTATTCCCGAATCAGTTTCTGCTACTTTTAAAAGACCCATTTGTGTTTGACTGAATTCTTATCGTTATGGCTGGATTTATGTAGGTCATATTCCCCATGCCGTATCTACACGTCACCCTGATCTCAAGCTGTTAAATCCAGCATAGAGAGAATGGAAACTTAACGAAACACTATTATCATCAGATGTACGATTTGGACTTTCCTTCCCATTGTTGACAATTTCGCGGTCACATATCCAGGCTGTTTTAGGATCGTTTTATTTCATAAACTGGTAGAGCACATGAATTTTTCCAGACAATTTACACTGAAATCTGGCTGGTGGAAACTAAAAATAGCCAGCCTCCAATGTATTCTTAACGGGATGGCGTTTCGCAGCAAAGGTCTAGGTCTGAGAATGATTTTTAGAAGTTAATCTACTCCTTGCAAAAAGAGCGGCTTTTAAAACGGCACAAGAAAATACACACACGTCTGCGTATATATATGTATACGTTCGTGACGTGTCTGTTCCTTTGAAATCAGCATTTAGATTTGGTCGAGTTCTGGCCATTACGCTATATTTATGATGTTCAAATTCATACACACACGAATATGTGTGCATATATAGTATATCTATTTATATACTATATCAACACATATTTGTATATATGTGTGTGAACATGTATATATTATACAACATATGTATGCGAGTAATATGTGTGCGTATAGTTTAGCATGTATATGTATATACATATATAATGTAGAATGTGTCTTTAATACATGCATAGTGGTACGTATGTATAGATGTATACACACATATTCATATCTGTGTGTGTATATAGACATATACATGTATAGATGTATACACATATTCATATGTGTGTGTATATACACATATACACATGTACAGATGTTTACACACACATGAATATGAATATGTGTGTATACATCTATACATATGTCTATATACACATACAGATATATGTGTATATAATCTATACATATGGATGTGTATATACACACACACGGATGTGTATATACACACATACATATGTATAGATGTATACACACATATTCATATCTGTGTGTGAATATAGACATATACGTATAGATGCACACACACATTCATATATGTGTGTATATACACATATACACATGTATAGGTGCTTACACACATACATCTGTATAGATGTATACACACATTCATATATGTGTGTATACACATACATACATATGTATAGATGTTTATACACATTGATATATGTGTGTGTATCTACAGACATACATATATATAGATGTATACACACATATTCATATATGTGTGTGTACTTACAGACATACCTATGTATAGATATATACACACATATGCATGTATGTTGTATGCGTGCATGCGTGCGTGTGTATGAATATACATATACATCTATACATATGCGTGTATGAGTGTGTATATATATATATATATATATATATATATATATAATGGTGCAGTGTATTAAAATGCATAATTACCTTTGCCTTAGAAAATCTCTACCTGTGACCCTGTGAAGGATCCCAGTGAGCAATGGGGTGGATACTAACACACGAGTCACGACCCCCAAATCCATTAGATGACGAAATGTACTTAGTGACCCCGAGCTCGCCTCCTTGGTATTTGGCTAATGCCTGCTGTTCCACATCGCCCCCTCCCCAGCGCCTGCGCCCAAATGGAGCAGAGCGCGACCCCGTGTTCCCCCCGGGTGCCTCCCTTCCCTTCCCTTCCCTTCCCTTCCCTCTCGTGCTGCCCGCCGGAGGGTGGGGAAAAGCTTTTGAGAAAGGGGTGCCGGCGCGGGGCGCTTGCCTGCAGCCTTCCCGCTGTGTGTCTGCCCGGGCCCCCTCCGCCGGCACCCCGCGGCCTCGCCGGGGCCGGGGCCGGGGCCGGGGCCGGGCAGGGAGGGGGCCTTGGCGCTGCGAGGAGCTCGAGCCTTTCCAGCCGCGCTGCGCGGGCTGCCAGGACCGGGGGACGAGGTCCCGGGCTCCGGGATAGCAGGTGCGGGTGAGCTGGGACCAGCCCACCCCGCCCCATGCCCAGCGCGGAGGGGGCCCGGGGCCGGCTCCGCACTCCCGGCCCTGGCCCGGCCAGGCCCCTTTTCCCAGACAGCAGCTCCAGGGAGCCCCAAGCAGCCCCTTGCCCTGGCTCGGTAGGAGCCAAACTTTTATTCATGCCCCGTGCCCTCCACGAGTGCTGCTCCGATCCCTTCCCCTGCCCGGTGTGCTGCTCTGCTTTCTGCTCCCTGCCTTGTGCTTCCTGCCCAGTCTACTGCTCTGCTTTCTGCTCCCTCCCCTGTGTCCTCTGCTCAGTCTGCTACTCCACTTCCTACTCTCCACCATGTTTATGGCTCTGCTTTCTGCTCCTTGCCCCTGTGTTCACAGCCAGGTCTACTGTTCTGCTTTCTGCTCCCTGCCCAGTTGGCTGCTTGGCTTCCTGCCCAGTGTGTCGCAGTGCTGTCTGCTATCATCTGCCACATGTCACATGTAGAAGCTGCCTGTGCCACTTGTGGCACCCATGTCATAGGAGCTACCCTCGCTCTACATTACCCTGGCCCCCAATAGCACCTTGCACTTGTTCTGTACTATTATTCTCCATTGGAAGAGGACAAGAACTCACTGGAGATCAGGCCTTAAATGTGTCTTTCTAGGTGGCAGATGTGGCCCCTGGTTAGTTATGCATTTGTTGTCTTCCACACCATGAGGTGCCCTTCCCAGCCTCTTGGTGCTGCACCAGGGCTTGGCCAGTGCAGGAGAGGCAAGCCAGGTTTTGTTTTTTGTCGCATGAAGTCCCAAGCAGACATTTACAGACATGCATTGGGACTAGGCCACAGCAGCTGCAGGGCATATGAAGTGCCCAATGATTTGCCTGCTCCCATTCCTTGGGGAATGCACTAATTAATGCACTCAGCCATCCTTTCTGACTTTCCTTTTGGAAAATGGTCTCCCTCCTCCTTTCAGAGAGCAAGGACCTGGAAGGTCAGATCAGGTTCTGGTGATTCCAAATGACCTTGTTTATTCTAGTAGGGGTTGAAGGAGGGGGCTTCTCTTCGTGTCGAGGCAGAAAACTGTCCCCCTTTGAAAGGGTTTTAGAGGGATTTTGTTTTCAGTCACTGGTAAATGTGTGTGGATGTAAAACTGAGCTGGTGGATTTTCCCGGCATCATTTTCATAAACACGTTCCAAGTGGTATAAAGCAAAACCAATATGATTCTAGTCTAATGTTTTCTGCTGAAGCAAATTCAAGGCTACACTCCATGCGTTAAGGACTATGTCTACCTACTTCTCTCTTTTTCTTTTCCCCTTGCAGCTGCAGACAGGAAACCTACTAGTCCTGTTGGCAAAGCTCAAGACACACTCAGTAATATACATGGACTTTCTATCCCAGCCTCATCTTCCTAGAGCTCCTGGGACTTGAGCCAAGAGTGAGAAAGAGAGATGTGGAGCACACACCTGCAACTCCAAAAATGTAACCGAACCCAGGAGCATGACTGTATTGGAAAAGGTGCCTTTGGAGAGGAAAAGGCGGTGTTTGAAACAGACCCAGGCAGTGAGAAGAGAGGACATTCTTTCATGGCAAATTAATGCACATGTGAATGTGATCTGGACTTTCATTCACATCATGCCTTGAGTGAGACATTTCCTCGATCCAGTTGGAAAGGATTTTCCCCTTTTTTCTTTCTCTTTCTCTTTCCTTCTTTCCTGTCACTTCAGACAACCTCTGGATGTATCCCAGCCACAGATTTTTCACTACATTTCCCATCATCGTTCATGGCTTGCAGTGTCTCCAACTTCACTCTTACACTTCCAAGTGCCTTTCCTCTAGAGAGGGATCATTGGGTGTCTACAAAGCCTTGACCCAGATGGCTGTGCTCTGAAGCATTTTCCCCCTTCTCTCCCTGAAAGTTTTTAATGTCTCCACTCAGAGTGTAAATGGACAAATATGCAACATTTTATGATATATTTTTATAATAACAAGCCATAATAAAAAGTGACTACAATCCGTACATGGCATTTGGGTTCCTTCCTGGAGCCTGCTGGCCTCAGCCTTGAACTGAGGACTGGTTAAGCACTGTCAGCTTCTTGCTGTACAGTTCTCTTCCAAATCCGTTTGAGCCTCAAATATCTCACCCTTTCATGTGTGGCTCTGGAGGGAGTTTGCTGTGAGGAACTGCTTGCTTTGGATGATCTCTTTAAAAGAGGTGGCTTTCCCTCACTAAGATTGCTCTTAAAAGCACTGGGTTGGAATTGAGAAGATCCAGGTTCCATAATCAGCTGTGCCCCTTATGTCTAGTGTGCCTGGGCTGGTCACTCAGGCTGTGTCTGCACTGTGCTAGTGGACTTATCAGTCATACCACTGAGGAAATAACCCCCTCCCACCCACTTCAGCTTGGCTCATGCCAGCTTTTAAAATTAGGTGTTTCAGACACTCTAGAAATGCTCCTGGCACTGAATTCAGGACGTGGGTTTCCACTGGAATGGGAGCAAGAGTGGGCTTATTTCCTCAGTGGTGTGATTGAGCGCTCAACCATCACAAGTCAGACCTACCCCCAGTTTCTCTGTGCCTTGATTTCCCATATGTAAACCACTAGTTCCTTTGTCCTCTCTACTGAAGGAGGACAAGGGCAAAATGGTAAAGGCATCTTGCTGTTTCTCAAGAGGTGTGAGTTTGGACTCTTCTCTGTACCCATAATAAAGGCTGCCCCCAGCTGTGAGTGGGCACCTGGTCATTCAAGCCAAGGGAGTCAAAAGCAACTGGATATGATGCTAGCCATGTCACTCTCTCATGTGCCTTTGGCTTCATAAAATGGCCTTCACTGTGCTAGGGGTGGGGAGACCTTAGATCTTTTTGTCTGGCCTATTCGATTACAAGCTCTTTGAAGAAGTCATTGTGTCTTACTGGGTGTCCATTCATAGCTGAGCATGGCAGTTCCATGATCTTGTGGCTACTTTAAAGCATAAGGCACTACAACAACAAGGAAGGACTGAGACACAATATGACTGTATGGTTGACTGTTGAACCTGGGAGATCTTTGCAAGTCTTGCAGTTGAGTAGAGACACGAAAAGGTGCACTTTAAATCAGGGAAAGTTCTACTAATTTGTGTCATTTGTTGCACTGTGGAAGGATTTGGCTTCATGTTTTTAAATATGTTTTAAGCTAGTCAAACCACCTAGTGGTTGGTTGCTAATGACTGCACTTAGTTCCCTGCAATGTTTATAGGTTTAAGGCTAACCTAGACTACTAACTGGGTTATGGGATCTACTTTGGCTATGGAGGATGACATAAATGCCTTTGAAGCATGAATAAAGTGAGCCCTTCTCAGATATAACAGTCCAAACAAAACATAACACCAAATAAAGCTAATGATTTTTTTCCTGGGAAGAGAAATAGGAAAGATCCCTGCCCTGTTTATTCTGGGTCTGTCCAGCAGACACATGTGGGATTCTGATGCTTGGTGATGTCAGAGGGGCACTTCTCATACCCACAATTAAAAAGTCATTTCACAAGATTTATAAGATAATAGCTCTGATCCTCCAGACCTTCAGCTTAAAAATAAATACATGGAAGGCTGCAGGAAGGGGGGATTGGCAACACTGGAAACTTTATACACAGATGTACATACCTGGCAAACCCAAAGCAAAGAGAACTGGCATGGTGCAGTGTATAGGATGGGGAGACAGGACCCCTAGAGTCTGTCTCTGAACTTGCCACTGACCTACTTCCATTTCAACTCCTTTTCCCTGCTCTATTTAGGTAGGGTGAGCATATTTCCTGTTTTAGCTGGGACAGTCCTGGATTTCAGAGGACAGAGAGAGCTGGCTGTTAGGAATAATGGGCATCCAGAAATGTAGGGGTGTGTGGCACAGTTTGGCTGGGAGTCAGTGAGGCATGGAGTGCCTTGCAGGCCTGCCTGCCTGGCACACAGCCCCACCTCCATTGAATTGCAGGGAGGGGGGGCAGGGGAGGGAAGGGGGCAGTGTCCAGAATTTCCCACGGCTCAGATTTCTGGGATATTCTTATGGTCAGCCTATATTTAGGTAAAGAAGTGGCTGTGGCCTTCTTTAGCTGTGTGTCTGCAAGGTGGGACCAGAGGAAACCCAGCTTCTGTTGATTACTTATCCTGCCACACTCACAGGCAGAAACATAACAGGGAAGCTCAGGACCCTGAGCAGTGGCCATGCACAGAGCAGGGGCAGCTCTCAGCTGCTAGTGGCAGTGGTGTGGCCAGCCCACAGTGGTGGCAGCTGTTATTTTTGCACCCCTCTCCCAGGCTGTTGCCCTGGTTGTGCTCCCTGCTCCTTCCTCCTTAGGTGGTAGGCACCTGTATTGTCTTAGGATATAGAAGGTCAGCCCCCCAAGAGTATGTGTCCAAAGTTTGGTGTCCTTCAGCACAGTAAAAAGAAAAAAACTGGAGGCAGCTTCTTGAATCACAATTTCTGTGTCAGTTCTGTGCCTCAAGATGTTCTCTCTCTCTCTGCTTTCTCTCATGGACACTTTTACAATTGCTTCTTTAACCTTCTGCTGACTGGGGCAGTGGCTCCTCTTGTTTCCATCTCTCCTTACATAGTGATTCTCAACCAGGGTGCTGCTGCAACACCCCAAGGTGCCTTGAGATCCTTTCAAGGATGTCATGGCATGCCACAAAATATTAGCACTGTTAGGTGTGCAAACATGATTCACAAGATAAACATAGAGATTTCAGATAGGAATCCAAGATGTCAAAAGCATTCTGACCTGTTAGGGTCTTTCTCAGTTCTTTGCAACAGAAGAGTCACTCTATTACTTTTCTGTAGTAAAAAAAAAAAAAAGTGAAAACTAAAAGTATTTGCTGCCTTGAGTCTAATGAAGTTGAGAACCACAGGCACAGAGGAATATTAAATTACTACTTCTATTTAGCATGAATGAAGAATCCACCACTTAGCACGTCCATCAATGTTAACTAGGCTTATGGCTGAGCTCTAGAGAAAAAAAAAAGGAGTCGTCGATGGATACTATTAACATCTTACAGTATAACTAACTGCATCTCCCCAGTGACAAGTTGGGTCTGATTTTGCCAACTGCAGGCTGTGATCTGAAACTAGGACTGAACTGTATGTTTAAGGTGGCTAGTGGCAACCTGAAGACTTAGTGGTTTGTCTGCTGGCACATCAACATCCTCTGAAACGTGCAGATCGGAATTTGTGATGGCTGATGGCCAAAGTGAGGAGGTAGGAAGCATTGTTGAGATGAAAGATGGTGGATTTAGCAAAAGGCTTGCATTCTTCTTTCTGCTACCCTCTAAACCAACAGATCTGGAGACAATTTAGGGAGGGGAAGTTACTGCTGACCTTAGCTGGTGTAATTTACACTTATGAGTATTCTTAGTACTACAGCCAATAAAGAGCCTCCTGGCTTCATGCCCTAATGCAGGCCTGTTGAGCCTGAGACACTGGCTGAATGCCTTGTCCATTAAAAAAGCAAGAAAAGATACCTTTGCTTTTAAAAATCCTTAATATTTGAATCTTTCCTTTGAAAATGGAGGTTGGTAAAGCTACATGAGTTAGAATAATTCTCATAGCTGAGCTGGAGGCATAAAAGCTAGCACTCTTGGGCTTCTTGGGGTTATGGGACACTCCCTTGAAGATTTTAGGTCCATCCACCAGAGAAGAGATTTTACTTACCCAGCTGTGTCTGATTTTCAGAAGTGCTGAGCACCTGCTTTCATTGGAATTGTGATGACTCGGCCCTTTAGAAAATTCATCTCATAGTTTGCATCTGTGAAAGTTATACTTCTACTTAATATTAATCATAGTTAAATATTTACTGCAGGTCATCATTTTATAAGTAATAATCAGAGTATAACTTAGTAGAAGGTAAACACATATGTCCTGATCCTTGGTTCTACTCAGACCACATCTTGTTAAGCAGGTCAAAATAGTTATAGAACCATCTTAATTGGTTAAGGAAGGGCTTGCTATGCAGAGCTGCAAGGGGACTGAGCAGAACAAGAGGGTTATGGTCTCATCCAGGGGTCAGCAATGCTTTGGGGAGAATGCCAAAGATACTTCAACCCTTATGCCAACCCCCGCCCCCACCAACCTCTACTTGGAAGATGTTGGCGTGCCAGGGGGTGAGGGAGCCACAAGGGGCCTGATTCTTGCTGTGGGAGCGCAGCCCCAGCCCCTTCCCTGCCATCTGCCCTGAGGCATGCATGCCAACTAAAAGACCTTCGTGTGCCATGCTCTGGCATGCATGCTGGGGGTGGGGGTGGTGGTGTTGCTGACCTCTGGTATAATCACTTCTGCATTCTGGTAATCTCTGCTTGCTACAATGACCTCTTAGGGTTGTGCCAGCCTGGTTTCATTTAGAGCAGTTCTAAATTTGGTTGGTCAGCCCCCAAGGTTGCTGACCACATTTGCTCGTTCCCCTAAATGCATTTTACCTGCAGCTGAAGATAAGGGTCATATAAACCATTTTTTAGATGGTTTTGCTTGGGATTAATTATATAATTATAGTGGTTCAAGGCTGGCTTGGGAAAATGCACTACTGTAATGCCTAGATTGATGGCTTTGCCTAGACTGCATTATCTTCCAATAATAATTTCTCCCCGTGAAAAATCACTTTTGTTCTCTGTTAAACCATAAAGGGGGAAAAAAGAGAACTGCTATACAAAGTTCCCTTTCCTTCTAATGGGAAAGGGTACTTGATAAGGAACTTATGTATCTCTTTCTCCATATGCCCAATGATTACATGTAAGCAGTAGAGTAATAATGGGTGGACAAGAGGGGCACAAGACTCGGATGCTGCCTGGGGAAGACACTAGAATGGAAATAGGAGGGCACCTTACCCTCCTTTCCCCCCTCCCATCCCCACACTGTGCACCTCTCCTGCTCTAGGCCCAACAAGGGCAGAGAAGTGGGAGTGGTACACAGTGGAGGAGCAGCTTGGGGGGTGGGGGGGAGATATCACCCTTTTTGCCACTGAAAACTGATT